CAAAGGAGGGGGCACAGTGGGTGCTAAGGGAGGGGGTGGGGGCAGGGGGGAGAAAAACCCAAACCTTGTATGCACATATGAATAATAAAATAAAAGAAAAGAAAAAAAGGAAACAGGCAACTAAAACCAGCAACTAACCTATCAAGAACATAGCTGTATAGTACCAAGTACAACAATGGGAAGAAGAAGGAGGGATGGAAACCACTCTTCTCAATCTAATAATTAATACAAGATTCATAGGTAAATGAAGAAAACAGATACCCAGTTCCTGACCCCAACAAAACAATGAGAAACAACACTAAGGAACTCAGCAATGTCCACAAAAACACCCTGAAAGAAGAAATCACTGAGAATTTCATGGAGAAGATACTAGACATTGTGAAACAAAATGGACAAGATGGACTCAAGAAATTTCAAGACACAAAAATAAATAACATAAAAAGACAGAAATAAATGAACTCAGAGGCACCCTAAATAAATACCAAAGTGAAACAGAGGACACTATAAACAGAGAGATCAATGAATTAAAGATGAAAATAAAAAATATTAAAGAGGAGGTGACCAAAGTTATGGAAAACCTCAGAAAAAAGAAACAAAGACAAAACACAGTGGAAGCCCACTGCAGCAGACTAGAATAAGTGGAACACAGAATCTCAGGAAGATAAAAGAAATTAAAGAAAAACCTGAAGAAATGTTAGTCAAACAACTCAAGAGTTGTAAAAAGGAATATACAACAATTCATTGACTCCATTAAAAGACCAAAGGTGAGAATCATGGGTATTGAAGAAGGATAAGAGGTCCAAGTAAAAGGGATTCATAATATATTCAATAAAATAACAACAGAAAATTTCCCAAATCTCAAGAAAGTTTTGCCCATTCCGGTACAGAAAACCTCCAGGACACCAAAAAGGCTTGACCAAAATAGAACCTCCCCATGGTATATTATTAAAACAACAGCCACAGAGAATAGAGAAAGAATAGTGAAGGCTGTAAGAGAGAAAAAACAAGTAACATATAAAGGTAAACCCATCAAAATCACAGCAGATTTCTCAACAGAAACCTTAAAAACAAGAAGGGCATGCAGTGAGATATTTCAGGCACTAAATGAAAGTAACTTCAACCCTAGGATACTCTACCCTGCAAAACTATCATTCAAAATAGATGGAGCAATAAGTCTTCCATGATAAGCAGAAACTAAAACAATGTATGACCATAAAGCCACTACTACAAAAGATTCTCCAAGGAATTCTGCACACAGAAGATGAAAGCAAACAAAACCACGAGAGGACGGGTAGTATCAAACCACAGGAAAAGACAAGGAATCAGAGAGTAGCATTAATTCAGCTGCACACAATCAAACCCTTAAACCAAAAAAACAATTATATGGCAGGAATCACCACATACCTATCAATATTAACACTGAATGTCAACAGACTCAACTTCCACATCAAAAGACACCATTTGGCAAACTGGATTAAGAAGGAAGATCCAACAATCTGCTGTTCACAGGAGACCCATCTTATGGACAGAACCAACATTGGCTTAAGGTGAAAGGATGGATGAAGATTTACCAAGCCAGTGGCCCCTAAAAAAAGGCAGGTAGCAATACTTATAGCTGACAAAATAGATTTCAAACTTACAATGATCAAACGAGACAAAGAAGGCCACTTCATACTAATAAAAGGGGAAATACACCAAAGGAAATAACAATTATCAACCTATATGTACCCAATGTCAATGCAACCAATTTCATCAAACATACTGTAAAGGACTTAAAAGCACATATAGACTCCATCACAGTGGGAATGGGAGACTTTTGCTATCACCAATAGATAGGTCATCCAAACAAAAAAAAAAATCAATGAAGAAATTCTAGAACTAAATCACACCATAGATCAATTGGACCTTACTGATGTGTACAGAATATTTCATCCAACATCTGTACTGTATACATTCTTCTCAGCAGGCCTCAGCAAATATAAGAAAATAGAAATAATCCCTTGAATTCTGCCTGATAACAATGCAATAAAACTAAAACTCAACAACAAAAATAACAGCAGAGTATATGCAAACAATTGGAAGCCGAATAACACATTGCTCAGTGACCAGTGGGTCATAAATGAAATAAAAGAGGAAATGAAAAGGTTCACGGAAGTTAATGAAAACACGAACAACCAGAACCTATGGGACACAGCAAAGGCAATCCTAAGAGGAAAGTTGATAGCCGTGAGTGCATATATTAAAAGGTCAGAAAGATCTCAAATCAATGACCTAATGCTTCATCTCAAACTCATAGAAAAACAAGAACAAGCAAATCCAAAAACAAGCAGAAGGAGAGAAATAATAAAAATAAGGGCTGAAATTAATGAAATAGAAACCAAAAAAACCATACAAAGAATTAATGAAACAAAAATCTGGCTCTTTGAAAAAACAAACAAGACTGACAGACCCATGGCAAATCTGACTAAAACGAGCAGGGAAAAAACCCAAATCAGTAAAATCAGAAATGAAAAAGATGAAATAATAACAAACGCCATGGAAAACCAGGGAATTGTCAGAGATTACTTTGAGAACCTATATTCTAATAAATTTGAAAATGTTGAAGACATGGACAAATTGCTAGATACTTATGATTATCCAAAATTAAACAAAGAGGATATTAACCACCTAAACAGACATAACAAAAAATGAAATTAAAGCAGCAATAAACAATCTCCCAAAAAAGAAAAGTCCAGGACCTGATGGATTCTCTGCTGAATTCTATGAGAACTTTAAAGACCTAATACCAACTCTTCAACTCTCTTTTCCATGAAATAGAAAGGAAAGAACACTGCCTTTTATGAAGCCAATATTATACTCATCCCAAAACTGGACAAGGACACATCCAAAAAGGAGAACTATAGGCAATTTCCTTAATGAACATCAATGCAAAAATCCTCAATAAAATAATGGTAAACCGAATCTTTCTGATGAAAGATCATTCACCATGACAAAGTCAGCTTCACCCCAGGGATGCAGGGATGGTTCAACATAAGCAAATCTATAAATACAGCACATTAATAGAAGCAAAGAAAAACCACTTGATCATCTCAATAGATGCAGAAAAAGCCTTTGCTAAGATCCAACACCACTTCGTGATAAAAGCGCTAGGAAAACTAGGAACAGAAGGAAGGTACCTCAACATTATAAAGGCTATATATGACAAACCTATAGCCAACATCATACTTAATGGAGAAAAACTGAAACCATTTCCCCTAAAATCAGGAATGAGGCCAGGGTGCCCATTCTCCTCATTCCTATTCAACATAGTCCAGCAGCCTGGCAACTAAAAGAAAAAAATGGGCAAATGGGACTACATAAAATTAAAAAGCTTCTGCAGAACAGAAGAAATGTCTATAAACTAAAGAGCCCACCCACAAAGTGAGTGAAAATATTTGCTGGCTGTACATCAAAGGACTAATAACCAGTCCTTTGAGCTACAGGGTAGCTCAAAAAACTAAACTTCTCCAAAATCAATGAACCAACAAAGAACTGGGCAACTGAACTGAACAGAACTTTTTCAAAGGAAGAAATCCAAATGGCCAAAAAACACATGAAAAAAATGCTCACCATCCCTGGCCATAAAGGAAATACAAATCAAAACCCCACTAAGATTCCACCTCACTCCTGTTAGAATAGCTATCATCAAACCACCACCACCATCAAATGTTGGCGAGGATGCAGGGAAAAAGGAACCCTCATTCACTGCTGGTGGGAATGTAAGCTTGTTCACCACTTTGGAAAACAATATGGAGGCTTCTTAAAGAACTAAACATAGACCTGTCATATGATCCAGCAATCCCACGCTTAGGGATATACCCAAAGGAATTCGACTCAGGTTATTCCAAAGGCACCTGCACACCCACGCTTATTGCAGCACAATTTATAGTAGCCAAGTTATGGAAACGGTCAAGATGCCCCTCTACCAATAAATGGATTAAGAAAATGTAGTAGTTATACACAATGGAATTTTACTCAGCCATAAAGAAGAATGAAATCTTGTCATTTGCAAGTATAATGAATGGAACTGGAGAACATCATCGTAAGTGAAGTGAGCCAGGCTCAGAAGGCCAAAAATCGTATGTTCTCCCTCAAATGCGGATAATAGACCTAAAACAAATGCAGTAATATTATTGGACATGAGTCACACACTAAGAGAACACATACAAGAGGAATAGACAAAGGAAAGGAAACCTAAAATTTGAAAGTGTTTCAAGTACCCACTGTAGAGGAGCTAATAAAGTAATCTTAAACTGACAGAGGTCACTATGGGAAGGTTACAGGGAAGTAGTGAAGAGGTCTGGTAGAGATGAACCAGTTCGGGTTATAATACACATGTGCATAGAAGCAATGGTAGGAATCTCTCTGTATAGCTATCTTTATCTGAAGCTAGCAAAAATGCTATGTCTGTTTTCTCTCCAAAAAAAATTGGAGAAGAGGGCAGAACATGTTCTGCCCTGAAGCAAGGGGGGTGGAGGGGAGGAGAAGGGGGTCAACAAATAATGTGTACACATATAAATGAATAAAAAAATGAAAAAAAAAAAAAACACCTCCACAAAAGTTAACCACTATTCTGACCTTTAACATAATAGATTAGCTTTCCTGTTTTGAACTTTTTATTGTTTGGTTGAGCTGCTGATTGAGCCCATGTCCTCATGTATGTCAGAAAATGATTTTTCAACTTTAAATAAATAGATTCACATTTTACAAAGAAAAGTGTTATAAAACATGTGACAAACTGCAACCCTCAGAAATCTCAGGCTAAAACATAAAATGATATGGTCAGTTATAGAAATACTTAAAACAGCACATAAACATGCATGCTGCATTTTTAGAAGGCTATAAATATTCAAATTCCAATTATAACTTTATGTTTACAATTCTCTTAGGTTTTTTTTTGGGGGGGGGAACGGATAGGACTGGGGTTTGAATTCAGGGTTTCCCACTTGCAAAGCAGACCCCTAACCCTTGAAGCCATACCTCCAGCCCAATTTGCTCTGGCTATTTTGCAGATGGAGTTCCGTGATGGACTGGCCTCTAATGGCAATCCTCCTGACCTCGGCCTCCTAAGTAACTAGGATAACAGACATGAGTCACCAGTGCCCAGTCTCTTAGATTTTTTAGAAACCATTTTATCTATGGTCAATCTGGAGAACGGTTACATATACCTATTATCCATGTTTGCACTGAGGCATGTATAAATATGATTTACCAACTTCAAACACATTATTCCTTATCAAAAAGAAATGCTATTAGCAAGATATAATTATATCAATTCAATTATTTTAACTTGCAAATGAAAATAATTACCAGAAGCTAAAGGTTCAATTTTTATTCGCATCTAGTAGAAACCAAGAATGAATCATTACTTACTTCAAACATAATAAATGACTGACATTTCTCAAACAAGTTGTATTAATCCTGATAGTTCTTTATTTTTTTAAAATATATTTGCTGTGGGTTGCTAATTTGCAATAGGTATCATCATAAGAGTAACTAAAATTAGATAAATGTGACAAAACACTGACAACTGTTTCACACTCTTGAATTATACAGAGTCAAGAATGGGGTAGAGAGGGGCGCTGCAAAGGAGATTACTGCAAGACTACTTGCAATAAAACCAGCAATGTATCCGTATCAAGAGATTTATCATCTCACATCCAATTTCTTCCCCTCAAGAACAATCTGAATTTCTTTGGCATCCAAAGTCTCATAGGTCAATAAAGCTTCTGCTAGATTCTTATGCTCCTTTGCATGAGTTTTCAAGATATGTTTCGCTCGTTCATAGGACTCCTAAAATAGAAAAGCAGAAAATGTAGAAGAAAAGCCATTTCTTTATGCAATGACAAAAGAAATGAATACTGCGTAGCTTTACAAAAAAAATCAACTGATTTAAACTTAGAAAAAAAAAGGACTTAAAAGCTTGGTTCAAAAGTAGTGATGATTTGTGCATAAGAACTAAAGTGTTACTTGGAAAGTATATACAAGAGGAGGGTTCAGAAAATGTTTCAGAAGTGTCTCTGTCTTTCCTGAATGTTTTTTCTTCCTGCAATCCTCTAACAGCACTTCTTCTACCTTTTTGAATCAAAACCTAGCTCTATCCTTTCCAGACCACTTTCCCTAAGCCCTCTCAAGTGTTATTTAATCACTCTTTTCCCAGATTCCTCTTTATTCCATTCACCACTTCCAGACTATTCTTTCTGTTGTAGAATATAATATTCCTTTGAAGACCAAATCATTTGATGACTGCCTCATCCAACCCCTACTCATTTTGCCATCTAACAAATACCTTAATTACATTCCCTACTCATTAAAGACTTTGGCCTCAGCTTATTCTTTATCTCCATTACAAGACCCAACTTAAGGGATAGATAACTTCAACATCCATGTGGAACATGTAAGCAACCATTGTACTAAGTTTCACACCCACATACCAAATTCTTTTTTCCCCATTTGTGAGATAGTGTCTTGCTATGTAGCCCAGGCTGCTACATAGTCTTCCACATTCTGTTATCCTGATCTGTATGGGACACTGTAGTCAATGGACCTCTGTTTGGTTTATTCTCTATTCTTGGCACATGCACATTGCTGCGCACAAAGTGAATAACCGATATTTGTTGAATAAATATACATCAGAGTAAGAAAACAAGAGAGACAGATTTGGTAAACAACATCCTCACTATACTTACTCTTATGGTTTTGCTATTAAAGTAGAACTGGATTCTACTTAGCCCATGGTCAAAATAAAATAAAAGACCCAAGTCAGGACAGGAAGCTTCTTAATAAAATACTGAAATCACTGATGCAATGTGAACCTATTTTCATTTTATAGAGACTTCTGGTGAACACAAAGACATTGTCAACACTGTTGTTTTGTTACAGTACTAGAGATTAAACCTAGGGCCTTGTGAAGGCCAGGTAAGAACTCTCTACCACTGAACTACATCCCCAAGAATCATAATCACTTTTAAAGCAAGTATTTAGGAAAACTATATGTAAAATAATAAATAAGTTCAAAACAATATTACCCTTAGGAGGATCCTTATTTCTTGTTCAATGGCAGATTGAGTTTCAGGACTCAGTTTAGCTGTATCACTGTAGGTCATCACTCCAAGCTAAAATTAAAGGGAAGAAAGTCACTGAACAAGAAATCTCCCAAATAACAACAGATATAACAAGAAAACCTGGCTTATGTATAAGAAAACAAGTATATGGGGGGAGGGGTATGAGAATAAACACAATATAAACATTCAACTATTCTTCTGAAACCGTAAGAAATAACATCAAAACAGTCAGTGCAAACGAGAAAAAACTTTAAATCACTTCTAGTTTGGATCTGAGGAGCACTCTTAGAAAATCCTGGCAACTATTCCAATCCGGAAATCCACAATTTGGAGTATAAAATTACTTCATGGAGCACGGTAATAGAGGGGGAATGTGAAACTTATGGAAGAGAAAAAGGAAGTTCAGAAAGAAGCTTCTTTTATGCCATATGAAAAAGCTAAACAACTTCAGTTTTTTTCTCTGTTAGCAGGACTGGGATTTGAAGTCAGGGCCTCCCACGTGCTAGGCAGGCATCCTACCACTTATGACATCCCACCAGCTTTATTTAATTTCATCAGTTGGTTAACTGATCATATGGTAGCAATGGTCTTAGCTGCTAACTCTAAACAAATAAAAAAATGCTGTATTTTGCTACTCAGAGCATATTCTTAGAACCATGTGAAAATAATCAGCCTAAAATGCATTTGGAACAAGACAGAGGGAAAGTATATGTTATAAATAATAATCACAACTCTAAAAAAGATCTAACTATAAAATCAACTATTACCTTTTCACTCATTCCAAATTTTGTAACCATTCGCTTAGCTATTTTTGTTGCATTATCAAAATCACTGGAAGCACCTAAAATTAGAATAAAATAAAAAAACACACACACAAAACTTAATTTCTGAAAATACCTTTAAACCAACAAACACAAATTTGATGCAAAGGCATTATATAAAAATCAACCTGTAGTAATATGGTCAGTTCCAAATATAAGTTCCTCTGCTACTCTTCCTCCCATACTAACATCCATTTGTGCAAGCAGCTGGGCTCTAGTTTCATTCCATCTGTCATTCTCAGGTAACAGTGACACCTAGACAATTGAATAATAAAAAGCAACTCAGACACAGCTGTGAAACACTTCCACTCAAAAACAGAATTACCATTTAACTCTCACCATGGGTAGTATTTTAAAAGGATGACAATGAAAGCCAAAACTCATTTTTAACAGAAAGAGATGGTTGTCACATGACTAATGACAAAACCATCAATTTTAAGTAAGGAAAATTCTTCATATAGCAAAAGTGCATATTATAAACAATGAGTGCATGATACTGTGATAGCACTGCTTTAATCCCAGTTGCTTAAAAACATTTAAAGTATCATATATTAAAAAGATTTGACAATGAAACATGTACAAACTGAGAGAAATCATGGGAAAACAATGGAACCAGTCACTAAAACACCAAATTTCTCTTTTGGTCTAACAGAAAAATAACATATTCAAGAATTATAGGGCTAGGGGTGTGGCTCAAGGACTACACAAACCTGCACAGCAAACAAAAGCCCTGAATTCAAATAAAATTAAGAATTATAGCTTATTGCCATTCCACAATTATATTTATAAGAATTATAGTTTACTGCTGTTCCACAATTGTATTTATAATGTAAACGTGTAACATCTGACATATATTATGAAAATATTCGTCCTCAAGAGAAAAACATCACAAATATATTTGATTGGAAAATGACTCAGAGTAAAAGTTACTTCAAATACTTAAAGGTATCATTAACACTTTCCTATATAAGCTTCTGAAAAGCTCTGTTTCATAGTAAGGGAAAAAAGAACCTGGGACTGGGAACATGGCTTAATAATAGACTGCTTCCTCAGCATGTCCATGTACATAACATGTACCCCCAGGTTAGATGCCACCCATGAAGGGGCAGAGGTGGGGGAGACAGGATGACAACACTTACAAGAAACTTACATGCCCAAGTGTTGGCCCTCGAGGCATGATTGTAGCTTTGTTGATAGGCATTGCATCCTTTGTGTAATATGCAATAATAGCATGACCAGATTCATGATAGGCTGTGATGGTTTTATTTTTGTTATCAATTTCCACACTTCTTCGTTCAGGCCCTATGATAAAAATTAAAGAAGCATACATTAAAAGGGTATATTTACATGCCAGAGGGGATAGCACACTCCTATAATCCAACACTAGGGAAAGTGAGGAAAAGGATCACAAGTTCCAGGGCAGCTGGGACTACAAAGTAAGATGCATGTCAAAGAAATAAAAAAAGGAAAGAGCAATGAAATTCATTCTGTTTTGCAAATCAATTTTCTGCTTTGGGACTGATATAAAATAAGAAATAAAAGTCAAAAACAATAAACCATTCTCTTTAAAGTCACTCTTTTTTGTGTGCACTGTTTCCATACCTACCCTTAGTTGGCTTTTTATATAGCAGACTGACTCCAGGCCTTCACATTTCTCAGACATCACGCATAAGGGTTTAGGAGAGTTCCATCATTGTGTGAAGGCCCAGAGCCTAATTCACTCTTCAAAGATGACACACCAGGAAGAGTTGAGAGAAAAAGGGAACAGGTGGATAGGAAAGGCAGGGTTCTTCAATGAAGGGAGTGCTGTCAAGGCAGAGGTTGAATACTAAGGAAGAATACTTAGGGACTAGAAGGAGTAAGAGATCCACGTGCCAAGTGCTCACATCCGTATGGCAACTTTGAGGAGACACTCGATGTCAGGCTCAATGCTGATGGTAAGGAAGGTATGGCTGTAGCAGCAGAAGGCTCCCACTCCAGCTCTGCGAGGAACTTCTCAAAGTTCTACACACATCTCAGGGGCACAGTGGACTCCCATGGTGAGCTTGGGATCAGTCAGGAAGGAACATGGGTCATCATAAGGATAAGGGAGCTGTCCTTCAGGTAGGTGAAGACAGGATGCTCATTCTGCCCATTTACCTCACACTTTTGGTCAAGAGTGAAAGTAGGGTGGTATCTACTCCAAGGCTGGACACTTGAAGAATATGCAGGATCTCCTCATTCCGACAGTTTTCCTGATGTTCAAACATGTAGCAAGAGAAGGCAAGAACCACCAGGTACCTGGGAAAGCAGCACTGTAGCTCATGGAGTAGCTCATGGAGGAGGGTGATGTCTGGGTAATTGGGTCCCAGAGCAAGCCAGATTTTCAGTCAGTAATGCCCTGCCTTGGAACGTGTTGATATCTACCTTCTCCCTATTTGGGCTGATGGCATTAAGGTCACAGAAGGATTTGGCAATGTAAACCATGGTGAAGCACTGAGTGACTTACAGTTCTTCTGAGAATAACAACTTTATATTAAAAAAAAAAAAAAACGGGCCAGGTGCCAGGGGCTCATGCCTGTAAATCTAGCTATTCAGGAAACAGAGATCAGAAGGATTCGGTTCCAAGTCAGCACAGGCAAACAGTCTGCAAGACTCTATCTTGGAAACAACCAATAGTAACAGGGCTGGCAGAGTAGCACAAGTGGTAGAGCCCATTCCTAACAAGCCTGATGCCCTGAGTTCAAACCACACCCAAAAAGAAGGAATAATTTTAAAATGACTAGAATTCAGCCTATGGTACATAGAAAGTGTAACATTTTAACTACAAAATTGCAAATATAATTATCTTAATCTTGTCAAAATGGAAGCTTAAATTATTCTATTTCAAGAAAATAAATGTCCAATTGAAAAAGAATGTCATAATCAATCTCTTTCTAAGCTAATACAAGACTTAAAATTAACCATCCTTTTTTATTAGCAATATTCATCAAGAAGAAATGCACGAGTACCCTATCACAACTACCAGTATACAGGATCTCAAACGTGGTAGGCAAGCACTTTATCACTGAGCTACATCCCCACTACCTAAACTATTGAAATATTTGTTCTTTAAGAGGCCAAATGTGATGCTATTTTCAAGAATATATTTACATGATCCTATAATTTTTCCTTTCTTTCTCTTTACTTTTCTGTTCCTTTTTCTTGTTAATGGTGATTCCAGTAACTTGCCCATAGTAGGCAGGCACTGTACCACTAACCTACATTTCTTTTATAAATATTTCTATATGGATGGGAGAGAAAAAGGTCTAAAAAAAATCAAAAAGTAATGAATGTGAAGCAGTTAAAAAACTGTGTTCGGTATCAATGACAAAATGCGTATTGTTATGAAAATGTTACTCTCTATTAGCAATTATTGACTCTTAAGTCGAAAATTTGAGAAATTTTCACACACCTTGCATAGTGAAGACAATGAAGGGGTTGGTACACTGGCTCAAGTGGTACAGCACTTGCCTAGCAAGCACGATCCCTTGAGTTCAAGCTCCACTAACACACACACACAAAAAAAAGAATCAAAGACATAAACGTAAGAGTTGAAATTAAAAGAAAATACAATGAAGTTTGGAGAAAGATTAAATTTAAGGCAGCCAGAGACTTTAAAAATCTGAGTAGAATGTTTGCCCAAAAAAAAAAAAAAAGAGAGAATTTGTTCTAACATAATATAAAAGAAGAGGGGGGTAAAAGAAAAAAAAGAAAACCTACCCATTAGAATTTTATCTTTGGAAAATTCTAGTTCCTTCATAGTAACCATTTCTTTTCCATCAACAGCTGCCTTTAATGCTGCTTGGTTCACAAGATTTTCCAGCTCTGCTCCAGAAAACCCAACTGTACCTCGAGCTATGATTTCTGGATCAACAGCTAAATAAACAGAAAAGACAATATTAAAGTCCACAATAGCGAAAAGGAAGCTCTTTACATAGAAATCACATTTTAAAACAAAAAAAGAACACAACTACACTGAACTATAACTTAAAACTCTTACCTCAAAACTACAAACTAATGAGTAAATGTCATTTGAGAAAGTGCCAAAATATGACATTCAAATTGCAATTGGGAAATGCCACAAAAGTTCTACATTTAACTAACTGCCTGAAAAACCAAAAAAAGTATAGTTATTTGATATAAAATTAAGAAGTTCAGATACAGCATATTATCAATCTGACCACAAACTGAAAGAAGCAGACTCACAGACAACATTCTGTTCCCTGAATTTTGCCTCTAGATACCTTACATGTAACAAAATTCCCCTTATTATAAGAAGCAAGTTTAGTTTTATGAATTCACTCAGCTACTTCTGAAAATACTACACCTTAATAGATTCACTGTAAGTTTCTCCATAATACTTCTGTCATGTTTCCTATTTTTGCTTTCCTCTCAAAATGAGCCTATTACTGTGTATTTTACATTTCTATATATTTTTTTAAACCTAGACATATACACATCTTCAAATATACCTGCTGAAAACCTGAAAAAAACTTTTTCTGGAGTCAGGATGCAAAATGATAGAATTATCTAAATACACACTGATTAAGGAATGAAATTCTTAGGGAACATGAAAATGGGAATAAAAATGACATAAAAATGCACTGGTCTTTCAAGACATTACCACAGAAGTACCACAAACAGGGTTAATGGACATTTTACCATTTTGTAGAGATAGTTTAAGGTTTGTATTATCGAGTTACACTTACACTTATCAAACTTGATTTTATTGAGATACCATTTCAAAATTTCAGTTCGACCTTTTACATCTGGCCTTGGAACTGTAACTTGCATGTCAAAACGACCAGGGCGTATTAAGGCACTAAAGGAAAGATAAAAAAAAGAAAAAAATTATTAAGCTTTCTATGCTAATGTAAACTAAACAAATGATGGAAAAGAAAAAGGCATCTATAGACCAGAGAGAACATAAATGTTCACAGTTTTCTCAAAACGATGGCTCAAATAACACTATCAATACAGAAAAGGTAGCTGGGCATGATGGCACACTCCAGTCATCCAGCACTCAGGTGAAGGAACCAGTGTCATAGTTCCAAGCCAGCCTACGCTACTTAGTGATACCCTGCCTCAAAAAAAGAAAGAAAGAAACAGGAAGAAAAAGATAAAAAGGATGATGAGAATAACAAACAGAAGGTACAAGAAAACTTTATATACATGCATGCAACTGAATTACCACACACCCTAAGAAAACCTGCATGTAGGTCAGTGAAGAAACAAATTCTACACAGTAAGCCCTGAGTTCAAACCCCAGTCCCACCAAAAAATAAAAATAAAGAAACAAATTCTACAGACATTATTATGGAACAACACATCTACCTCAATGGTTATAGAGTGTTAAACTATTGTACTTGGCACAAACAATGGACCACATGAGATTATTAAAAATTTCTGTAATAAAATATCAAAAAACTATTAATACTAATTTTCATATGAAGACAATTTTAGTGCAGAAAGTTTGTTAAGATATTTTCCACCTAAAATTTTTTAGATGGAATCTTTTAAGTTTTATTGATATACCCTTATTTATTTATTTGTAAAGTTATTTATCTTGGGGGGGCAGTACTAGGATTTGGATTCAGGGCTTCGCACTTGCTAGGCACACACACTATCTTGTAAGTTACATTCACAGCCCTTTATTATTGAGATGTAATCTATGCAACAAGAAGAATAATTCAGTGGCTTTAATATACTCTAATCAGTGCAAGCATCACTTCCATCTAATATCAGAAGTCTTCCCCACAAAACGAAATGCAGCATACACTGGCAGTTACCCACCACTGACCCAAGCCTCAGGCAACTGCAGTTTGAATTTGCTTATTCTAAGCATTTCATAGAAATAGAACATGCAATGTGACCGTCTGAGATGGATGTCTTTTCTTAGGATAATGTAGCATGGAAGAGTACTTCTCTCAGTCAATCAGAATCGTCATTTAGTTGTGGTGACAACAGAACTCATTGCACCAATGGCCTTGGGCATCCTAGGCATCCTTCTATCTCTTGAGCCGTGCACCCAACCTTAAAATTTTTCATTTAATACTTACTTGTCTAATGCCTCTGGAAAGTTTGTAGCTCCTATGATGATTACTCCTTCATTGGGTTTAAAACTATTTAGGGAGGGAAAAATAAAGAGTAACTTTCACTGAAAATTGATGCACAGTACATAAGTAGCAAAATCTATATAAAACTATCATTTATATAATAACCAAAAAAGTGCTTGAAAATAAGCAAACAATTAATCTATGATCACATACATCAATAATATCTGCCCTAGTTAGAAAAACAGCCCAATATAAAAAAATGGCTGCGTCATTAAATTTTGAAAAATTGCTCTCAAGTTTACAATTTCAAATTATTTGCTCCTAGACTTTATTTAGTTTCACAATGTTTCACACTGACAAAGCAATACCACTTCTTGCTTTTCCTATTATAAACATTGATGTAAGCTTTAAATGTATCACAACAATCAATATTAATCATAAATTGTGCAGAAAACAACTGTATTAACTCTTTACTCACTTATCTGGCAATGCTGGGGATTGGACCTGAGGTCTTACACAGACTAGGCAGGTGCTCTAACACTGACCTATCTTTACTTCTTTAAAGGGACTACTACTAGTCTCAAGTTAAATCACTGCTTTCCTATTTTAAATACAGTAACTTTTAAAATGCATATATATAATTTCCAAGACAATTTGATATATCAAGAACCAATAGTGGAAAAAACAGAATACTAAGAGGGAAAGCTTTCCTTGAGTTCTTGCATTTGAGACTACTCTGTTACCTACAGGCATAGTATTTTCGAATCTATGTAATGTTACCAACTGTTTCATGGAAACAATTTGCATGAGATCATGTGTCTCATGTATCAAATGGTAAGAGGTATCTGTTCTTCTGAGTAATTTCTAAAACAGGAATTTTAATTTTTAAAAAAATCACCATATTCCACAGAAAAATAAAGACTCAATTACCCATCCATTTCAGCAAGAAGTTGATTGATAGTCTGCCTTGAATATGGATGCATTGGAGATTCAATTCTCTTCCCACCAACAGAATCTAATTCATCAATAAATATAACACAAGGAGCATTTGCTTTTGCTTCCCCTAGAAAATGGAAAAGATTCAAATGAGTTGAAAGAAATGAACACTTTTTAAATAAAACCATGTAAATAAGATTGTCAAAGATCAATAAATATTCATAGGGAGAAATAAAAAAGAAGGTAACTTTGTACTAAAAATACTATCATTGGAGGAAGGTATAACAAACAGAATGTTATTAAAAAAGAAATCTGCTTTTTTTTTATGTTGGTTCAGCCTAGCTATAAAATGAATACAGCTCTATTTTAGCTTATACATCATACAATTTGAACTGGAACCCTACAAAGTCTACTCAGCTAACAATCACAAGCAATTAACAAAAAACGGTAAAACAAAACCTAGCCTTCTATAAAAAATGCTTCAAAACATACTAAAAAGATTTCTGATTCGGCTGGCTCCCACACCAACAAACATCTCATCAAATTCTGATCCAGAAGCATAATAAAAAGGAACATCAGCTTCTCCTGCCACAGCTCGGGCAAGAAGTGTCTTTCCTGTTCCTGGTGGTCCAACTAAAAGAATTCCTAAAAGGAAAAATAAAAGGAATAATTCAAATTAAAAACACATCATTGATGTGAATCAATTAAACAATTATTAATTTATGTAATTTTGAGGCTGAAAGGACAATGACCAGTAGGCTCAAACACAGCAAAACATTTTTTTTATCCTAAAGCTTCACTTCAGGTCCTTCTCACATATAATTTTCCCATATCAGTTAAACATTGCTCATGTATCAACAATAGGGAAAATACTGAGGCAAAGTAAGATAAAATAATTATAACTAAAGTAGTATGATAAAATTCACATTAAAAGACAAATGCCCAACTGTAATCCATGATTCTTGACTGTACTTTTCCATAAAAAAGACAAAAACAACTCTAGGGACATGAAAATTGAAAATAAAAACAAAAGGCAAGAGAGTACACAACATTAAGAGAATAGTATTGGGTTGGGTGTGACAGTACATGCCTATAACCCCAACTACTTAAGAGGCAGAGTAGTTCACAGGCCAGCATAACAAAAAAGCCAAACCATGGAAAATCACAGCCCAGACAAGCCTGGGCAAAACTACAAGACCTTATGTGAAAAACAGCTAATAAGCTAAAAAAAACTGGTGGTATGGCTCAAGTGATAGACTTGCCTGCCAGCAAAGGGAGGCCTCACCCTGGTTTCCAACTCTGTAACCAGCCCCTCCCCACCACCACCAACAAAAAAAAACTGACAAAGGGGGAGAGAGTATTTTTTTTGTTGTTTTTTTTGGTGGGGGCAGGGGGAGCAAGAGAAAATTATTAGGACAACATTCTTAGACAGTGCAAACCAAAGTTGGTTTCTTTCAAATGTTAAGGAAACACACAATACGTGCATGAATATACACACACATGGCAAGTATGACAAAATATTATCAATTCTTGAGTGTATGTATATATTATATGGCTTTTAAAAATGTTTGAAACAATGTATACACATGTAAGTAAACGTAAAAAATGATAAAAAGGAAGAAAATAATAACAAATAAATAAATTAAAATGTTTGAAAGTTTTCATAATACCAAATAACCCTTTTATGGTCACTTAAAAAAATACATTTGCCTCATATATACAATTTTTTCCGTTAATGTACAGACCACATTAAAGTCAGATTAAAGATGTGTTAATCACACACTGTAACATAAAGTTTTTAAAGAAAAGTTCAAAAATAGCCTGAAGACCATCCTAGCCATGTGTTACAGCTAATTGGTTTCAATCATGATATTGATTCCTATGAATGATCTGAGTATCTAAGTATTTATCTGTAAATTTATAAAATACTTTTTCGGAAAGAGAGTGAATATTCCTATGATCTTTCAATGCTCACTGTGTGATGTTACAGGATTGTTTTATAAGTGTACTCTTAATTACGAAAGTTCCAAGCCAACATTCTCATATTCTCTCCTTAACAATCAGTAGAGACATCTGACAGTATAAAAATAAACACTATAAAAATGCCTGTGAGGTAGCCAGGGGCTGGTGGCTCATACTTGTAATCCTAGTTACTTGTAAGGCTGAGATTAGTAGGACTGCACTTCAAGGCCAGCCTGGAAAAATAGTTTGTAAGACTAAGACCTCATCTCCAAAATAACCAGAACAAAATGGACTGGGTGTGGCTCAAGTACTAGAGCCCCTACTGTGCAAGAGCAAAGCCCTGATTCACACTACCTAGTCCCACCCCAAAAAAAAAAAAGTACCTTTGGATTACTTGAAATTTTACCCAAAGGCACATGTTGAAGGCTTGGGTCTCAGCTGGTAGTGCTCTTGGGAGGTGGTGGAAACTTTAGGAGGGAGGACCTGCTTGGAAGAGTTGCATCACTGAAGTTGTATCTTTGAAGGGTGTATTTCGTCCCTGGTCCTGTATAGAACTGTCTGGCCTATTACACTTGCTTTCTGTCCATTATGTGTCAAGAACTGTTCCACCACCCACTGGGCATGGTATTCAGCCTTTCCTCCAGCCTACAGTACTAAGGTCAAGAAACCATGGATTGAACAATCTGAAACCATGAGTCAAAATAAAGCTGTCTTCTTTTAAAAACAAACCAAGCAAGTCCTTCTCTTTAACTCAGAAATTCCAGTTCTAAAAATTTATTTTAAGTAAATTAACCAAAAGGATGAAGCCTTTCCTAGGAAGATCATAATGAGATTTTTAATAGTAAAACAACTGAAAACTACATAAAAATCCAATACAAATGTTAAATACGCATTCTACAAATACATAAAGATCATACAAGACCAACCCTCCATCAAAAGAACCCCAATTACACACCCACCCCCAATGAAAACATTGAGGAACTTTCTCATATTAAATAAAACATACAGGGGTGTAGTCTAGTGGTACACCATTTGCCTATCATGCACAAGATCATGAGTTTGATCAATAGCATTAAAAAAAAAAATCCCAAAAATATTAAATGCTCTGTGTGATCCTGAATTGGGTCCTCACCCTGGGAAATGGGGTTACAACAAAGTAAACTATGGGGACATATGATAAAATTTGGGTGTGGACTACAAACTTGTTCAGTTTTCTTTCTTTGATAAGTTATCAATTTTAGTAATTATATGGGAGTTATATAAAAGAATATCTTTACTATTAGGAAATACTCAAGTATTTAAAGGAGCATTATGTCTTTATTCTAATTTCAAGTGGTAAAAACAATACAAGCATGTAAAGAGACCAAATGAGGAAAAATTTTAAATACTAGACAGAATGAAGAAAATAGTTTTGTGTTCTTGAAACTCACAAGTTTTCAATTATATCAAAATTTCAGGTTATAAAAAAATGGTTATACACATGAAGAAATGTTCAACACCCTTAATCATGAAGGAAAGGCAAATAAAAACAACACTGAGATTTCACCTCACCCCAGTCAGAATGGCTATCATCAAGAAAACAACAAATGTTGGGGAGGATGCAGGGAAAAGGGAACTTTATACAATGCTAGTAGGCATACAAATTAGTGTAGCCAGATAGAAATCAGGATGGAACTTCCTCAAAAAAGTAAAAATAGGATTACCATGTGATCCTACTATATAAATTCTGAACATATTTCTGAGGGAATCAGAGTCAGCACATAATAGCAACAACATTCACACTACCTAAGCAATGAAAGTAGCCAAGATTCAGCTTTAAAAAAGGAAATTAGCTAGATACAGTCGCTCATGTATGGAATGCCAGCTGCGCAGAGGCAGAGTTTGAGAGGATCCATCCTTTGAGGCCAGCCCAGGCAAATGTTATGAAGACTCCAGTTGAATCAACAAGCTGGGCAGTGGTGGTGAGACCCTATGATCTTAACAACACCAGAGAGCCAAAGCCAGAAGCAGACAAAAGTGTCTGTTTTAAAAATAACTAAACCAAAAAAACAGCAGAGAATGAGGCTCAAGTAGTAGAGCGCCTGCCCAGTAGCAAGGATATGAGTTCAAACCCCAGAATCACAAAAATTTAAAAAAAAATTATGAGCTAATGTTACTTGCAGGAAAATGAATGAAACTGGGGATCGTCATGTTAAGCAAAATAAGCAAGACTCAGAAAAACAAATACTGTATCATCAAATAATATTAGTAATTTTTGACATCAAATTATGATAAAAGGGAAAATATCTCACCTTTTGGAAGTTTACCTCCAAGCACAGTGAATTTCTGTGGATTTTTCAAGAATTCAACAACTTCCTGTAATTCTTGTTTAGCTTCCTCAACCTAAAGTGACACAATTTACCAAATGATTTAAAATAAAGGTTATTAGATGTGGTTAGATTATCAAGGTTTCCTCTTTGAAAACTTAAATTTAATTTGGATATAGAATTAACTGGACCATCTCTTTATGCCTTGTGAAGAAACTATATAAAAACACTTCCTTTACAATACACGAGGTTTTTTCCTTTTTAAATATACAGTCTCCTTATTTTACTAACAAACATCATTTAAGCCTCCCACATTTTCTCAGTGACAAAAAAAAAGACAAGTACATTGGGCAGGGTTAAAAAGAAACTCCCTAGAGAGGATCATACTAAAACATAAATGACATCTTTCTTTAGGACATAATTACTTTATATTCCTAGGAAATTTCCCAGAAATATTTTCAGAAGAGAGCATCACTATTGAAGAGAAAGTCTGCTTGTTTTCTGGCTAGGCTTAGAATGTATTTGAGACTTAGGCTGATATAAATCATTAAAATTTTCATAAAGTTAAGAACAAAGCTAGGCTCAGTCCTAGGTTGAGGAGGTATGTATATATGTGTTCCCCATGACACAAGTACAAGAATATTTGTACTAACTCTACTTGAGCTAAACCTGAAGAGAAGCAAAATGTCCACCTAAATTAGAATAAGTATACAATATCGTGGTATTACATATAATGCAATATTATACAATGAGGATAGATGAACTACACCTCCATATAACATGGATATATGAGATTCACAAACATCATGTGGAGCAGAAGAAGCGAGACCTAAAAAAGGATACTGTAAATGTATTGTATTTATAAATAAAAATAATGAATGTACAGTATCAGACAGGATGATGTTGATTCTCAGGGTGGGGGATATAAGAACTAGAAAGAGGCTTAAGGGAGGGGGTGTGAGACTCTGTAAGTGCCCTGTTTCTTAAGTTGGGAAATGTTAACACAGATATGCATTTATGATTTGTGCACTTTTGTATCAATATATTAAACTTCCACAAAATTTGTATTTAAAAAAGATTTGGCAGGATTATTAAAAGAGCACAATTAAAAACAGAATTTGAAGATAACCACTAATATAGTTGTCAAAATAGTGGATATAATGCCAATGTTAAGATTTAATAATAAAATGAGATTAAACATCATTTACTTCTCAAACTGTATTATCTCCCCAATGTAGCAAGACTGTACCACACTGAGGAAAAGACAATCTATTGAGGAAAGAGGGTCGAGGATCACAATAATGAATGAAGTTATAAACAGCCCTTATTTGTGTATTTTTTCTTCATTTTTATTAAGACATATTCATTGTACAGGGAGGGATTCATTGTATCATTTCCAAATTGGAAATGAACATTGCTTAGATCACCCCTACCATCTTTTCCTTTCCTCTTATTACTATTTTTAAGGCAGGTATATAAAGGTATCTTACATACTCAGAAATTCCAGACAAGAAATTATTCTTTAATTTCTTTAAGACTAGGCAAAACTAATGGTAAACCTGTTAAGGTAAATTCTATTGAATAACTTGGGTCATTTAATTAAGATTTCATAGCAATTATCACATTTTGACTCACTCTTACCTAGAAAACTTTGTAAGGACCTACCTTAATTGTGGTGTCCCCTTTCTTAATGTTTAATCATCAGCATATCTTTAGTTTTGTACTCAGAAATTCCCTCATTGCAAAAGAAGTATGGTATATTCATAAGAACGTTATACATTACAACCAAAAGGAAAAGAAGTCTTAGCCAACCACAGCCTCACTGCAGGTTCTATTCAGAGCAAGCACTAATATATATGCATACATGTAGGTATATAGGTATTTATTTATTGGTGGAGGAGGGTTGAATTTAAGAGCGTGCACTTGTTAGGCAGTCACTCTACCACTTGAGCCATTACTCCAGAGTAGGCACTCTGACTTCAGACTCAGCCAAAATGTGGAGTAGCTTCTACATGAATAATTCAAGTTTCACATAATCACTGTGCCATTCTCTTCCTCAGTTGTTCACTTTCTACCATTCAAACAGGGTTCACAGCCATTTAAATTGCAACGGAAATTTTGGATACCTTGGTGTAAAACTACTATAATTCGCTATATCTTATTCCCCTATGTTTAAGATTGGAAAAAAAGAAAAAAAACAGTACGTATAAATAAGAATACGCATACTAAGGAGAAGCAGCAGACATAATCACATAATCTGCCTCTTCAGTGTTGAAAAAGTCTAGGTCATGAGTTTCAAAACTGTCTTAGGATAATTTTCTTCAGTTCTAAAAGACAATTGCCCAGCCTCTATAGGTCCTAAAATCAAATGTAACATATCAGATGTAGTAGTAGACCACATGTAACAACACACTGTAGGACTATGCTTCCAGAATTCGTATTTGGAAGAGATCAAAGAAACAGAAATCAGTGGATGAAATCACTGTATTGATGGTCTCGACATAAATTCAGGATCTCAGACTTCAAGTGGGACCAAAAGTCAGATTGCTCTAATCCATTCATTTTCCCATTTTTTAAAGTCATATTAGCATATATTTGTACAAGAGCATACATCGTGATATTTACTACGCGCTTACAATATGTGAGACTGACCATCCCGCATCATTCTCACTCATCCCTTCCCCTCTTTGCAGAACATTTCAACAGATTTCATATTTTCATATGTCACTCTCCCATTCTCAACACAATTTCATACTTCTTTCACAAACCACTCATCCCTCCACTTCCACCCACATACTCAGCTGATAAACTTGGTTCTGAATTCACAATCAATTTACAACTACCACTTTATTAATATCTCTACCCTTTCCTGTTATAATATGAACTGTGCATGCTCCCTTTCCAAACAAATCCAAGAATTATCTATAATATCCTATTTTATCTTACCTCCTTCACTCTCTTGTAAACTCACTGTATTCAGAGTTTAACCCTTGTTATTCGATTGACAGTGCTCTTTACCAAGTATACCCACAACCTGGCCATTACTGGCGAAACCAAAGCTCAATTTTGAACTGACTCATTACTATTTCACATAGATGGTCCTTCCCCCACCAGAGATATTTTCTTCCAATGTACCAGCCTCACCTACTTCACTGAGCACTTTCTTAATCTTTGTTCCTGATTTTTCACCTTGTTCTGTGTACCCTATAGTTTTGAATAGCTCACACCTATATCTCTTCTCTTTTCTAGTTATTCTCCCTTAGTGACCTCATCCAAATATATGCTTGAATGTATGTTTATGTAACTCTGAAATTTTTTTCTTTGTGTTGTGTGTGGTGCGTGGGTTCAAGCCCAGAGCCCTGCATATACTAGGTAAGCACTCTACCACTGAACCTCATCCCCAGCATAAACTGTGAATTTAATTCAAGCCCAAGTCTTTCCACTAATTCCAAAATAGTATATGCAAATGCTTACTCAATACTTTCATCTGATTACTTCCACTTGACATACCCACCACCAGCTTTCTGATTTTTGTTCGCAGTATCTGCCTCAGCATCTCTAGTGACAGGATTACAAGCATGGGCCACCATACCAGGCTCAGACAAAAATCTTGTCATCACTGATTTTTCTTTCTCTTAAACTCAAAATTTACTCAAAAATTTTTGAATTACTTTTACCTCTGATATATGTATTCAGAATCTAACTATATGTATCACCAACTTTAATGCAACAAGTTAGTCTAATCCACCATCTTCTCTTGCCTGGACTATTCTATTAATCTCTTATCTTTACCCTTCAAGATTACATTAACAAAGTAGCCAGACTGTTCTTATTCAATTTTGTATCAAACTGTACCACTCCTCTGCTCAAAATCCTTCAGTGGCACCTACTTGCAAGAGAAAAAAAACAGTCTTCATAATGGCTTATAAAACATTATGCAATCCAGTCATATATAACTCCATAACCTTATCTCCTACTATTTTTTACCCACTTGATTCCATACTCACACCTTAAAAACCTCATTTAAAATTGTAACCCCTAAGAACTCTTGCTCCCTCCTCAATTTTCCCCAACACTTTAAACACCTTCTAATATACTCTTATAATGTACAATATCACTGTCCAATTCCTGCTTTTAGAATTTAAATTCCTCGAGCACAGTTTGTTCACAGCACCTTAGACAAAGCAATTATTAGATACTGTTAAATATCTGTTAAACAAATTAACTATAATCCAGCATTTTTCATTCTAATCAATAAATCTATATTGTTTAAAATATTTCAGAACTAGTGTTAAAGATCAATAGGAGGAACGCGTGAAGAAGTATCACTTATTGACTTCCTACTACATACCAAGCACACGTTATCTGTGAGAACATAAAGTAATCAGTTCAAGGTCATGTAGTCACTAAATATAAAAATAAATTAGAAATTTCAGTCTATTTAAGTCCCCATTCATTCTGCTACATTATGTTGCTCTATCACAAATTAATATTAAATCCTATCATAAAATAAAATTTGCTCTTCTGTTCCTACCACTCACCATAAATATTAAAGTTTCTAATAAATCTGAACATAATTTTACCTGTTCCAGAATAACATTTAGAATCAAATGTTGACCTTATATAGGATATCAACTAGATAATGTACAAAGAACACAACAAAACCTTAACTTACTCCTTTAACATGTTCAAAGGTGACATTTTTCATCTGGACAGGATCTACTGCAGAATCAAGGCCTGTGGTTGTCCGGAAGCGGACTAAAAAAAAAAGTTTAAATTTAAGAGACTAATGAAACTCCAAACACTTCACTTTATAGATGCAAGAAGGTAAAGCAGAGAAAATAAATACTAAAGAGACGGAAGTTAATGCACATTAAATCAAAGAACACAAATAGGTCTTCTGTATTCTACACCAGGTTCAAGGACCAAATGATTTACATTAAATTGATATGTTTGTACTTTGCTGTTAAAACCAAGAATTAGTTTCCTTGGGCTGAAGGTGTAGTTCAAGAGGTAGAGTACCTACTTTGCACGTGCAAAGCTGTGAGTTCAAACCCTAGTGCCATGGGGAAAAAAAAGAATTATTTTCCTCTAATGCTTGTAATATCTAATGATAAAATGTGAAATTAATGGCTAACAAACTTGAGTGCATAAAAATCACTTGAGAAATGTGTTAAAATGCAAATTCCCATGCCAAAAGTCTGCAGAAAAAGGTTATACTTTTTTTTTTTTTTTGGTAGGACTGGGATTTGAACTCAGGGTTTCACGCTTACAAAGCAGGCACTCTACAACTTGAGCAACAGATCCAGTCTATTTTGCACTGGTTATTTTGGAGATGTGTTTTAAAAAACTATTTGCCCTGGCTAGCCTTGAACTGAGACCCTCCCAATATAAGCTTCCCAAGTAGCTAAAATTATAGGCCTGAGCCACAGATGCTGGGCTGAAGTTTGCATTTTTAACATGTACTGATAGAACTGGTCACATGGAGCGAGCTTTTTCCTAGCTCCCTTGTTATTAATGAACCTAACTGGGGCTAACTGGGCGGCGACAGGAGATGCAGAAAGGACAAAGGATAGACAGACAGAAAATGGGATCAGTTGTGTTAGGCACTCGGGTGGAGATGCACACTGCCTCATTGCTTCTTATCTCTATTAATCTCTTCTCTTTATTCTGCTTCTTTATCTCTGTCTTTATTGTTGAAGGCCTTACTTCTTTACAATTCTTTAAAACCTTGCTTCTAAAGTCTTTCCTTAAAACCTTGCTTGTAAAGTCTTCTCTTCTGTTCTTTAAAGACTCATCCTGTCCCATGTTTTCTCTTAGCTTTTCTTTAGGATAATCTCTCTTAAAGTCTTTGCCCCCAGACTTTGCACTGTCCCATTAGACTTGCACTGTCCCATGTTCTCTCTTTAGCTTTCTTAAAGCCTCAGTGCTCAGACTTGCACTGACCCATGTTCTCTTTAGCTTAGCTTTTCTAAAGCCTATCTACAAAGTTCTTGGTGCAGACTTTCTACCAACCTGTCTTTAGCAATTCCCGTTTAGCAATTCTCCTTCAGCTATCCTTTCCCTTTCAGCAATCCTTTTCCCTTCCAAAGTCTCCCACATCAAAAAGCCAAAAGCAAAAGCCTCAAAGCAAAAACCCCCCTTCCTCCTTCAGTGAGTCTTTTATATCCAGTGGCAAACAGGGTGGAGCAGCAATTCCCCAGGAGCAGCCTAACAACATTGGAACAGGAAAAACCTGCCTTCTTGCTTCTCTGAAGATAAACAACTTAGAAGAAGCAGCTGTTCTGCATTTTCCTCTTCTGTGGCCGAGGTTGTGCCAATCTCAGCCTACAGATAAACATCTTAGGAAAAGCAGCTGAGCTGCATCTCACCTTGCTTATGTCTAGTTCTCGAGGCTTCTCATAATCCGCTCTCTATAGTCACACATCTACACTTTGCAACACATTTTGTTAAGCCTACCAGTAAAACAAACAAAACCACAAAAAAATTCATGCAACAGAGATAGTGAAACCTAATAGCCTATTTTACTTTTTAAATATTCTTCCTTATAATATCATTCTGAAATTTAAGAGAGGGAAAGGACAGTAGGATAAACAATATTTAAGATCAAATGCAGGGAGCTATTACAAGACTGTCTTAGTTGTCTTCTTGAGTAAAACTTCACAACTAGAGCAGTTATAAATGAGTAAGCACAGTGATTTCTCATTTCCTCAGAAGATCAAAATATTGCCAGTAAGACAGAGTGAGAGGACTGGGGAGTGGCTCATGTAATAGCAAATAGCTTGTTAGTACAAGGCCCTGGGTAAATCCCACTACTACCCCTCCCAGAAAAAAAAAAAACAAGTAACAAAAAAATAGAGTGAAATTCAGAAACAAACATTGAGTAGGCACTGCCAGACATGATGACACATACCTGTAATCCCATCTACTCAGGAGGCAATTATCAGGAGGTTCAAAGTAAGCCCAAGCAAAAAAGTTAGCAAGACCCCCATCTTAACAATAAACACATCTGTAGTCCCAACTATGTGGGAGGAATATGTAGGAGGATAACAGTCAGGCCACCCAGAGTGAAAATGCAAGACTCTATGCAAAAAATAACTAAAACAAAAACAGAGGCATGGCTGGAGGGTAGACAGGCAGTCTACCAAGTGTGAGGCCCTGAGTTCAAACCACAGTACCACCAAAAAAAAAACATAAAAAAAATTAAAAAGAAGGCAAAAATACAGGGTAAGCCAGGTACCGATGACTCCTGTCTCTAATCCTAGCTATTTGGGAGGCTTAGATGGTGAGAATCACAGATTGAGGCAAGCCTGGGCAAATAGTTCAAGAGACATCCCCCTCTAAAAATAACCAGAGCAAAACGGACTGGAGATGTGTGTGGCTCAAGTGGTAGAGTGCCTGCTTTGCAAGCATGAAGTCCTGAGTGCAAACTTCAGTCCCACCAAAAAAAAAAAAAAGTTAAGAAGGCTTAACACATCAAGAATATACAAGTAAGGAAAGCAAATTCAAAATCACAATTCTAGAAGAGACACGAATAATTTTAGCTCATGAATTTTTATTTATTTAATTTTTTTTGGTGGAACAGGGGTTTAAACTAGGGCTTCCCACTTGCACAGGAAGCGCTCTATCACTTAAACCACATTTCCATTCTCTAGCTTATGTTAAGAATCTTAGATCCTTAGACCAGTAAATGTAAAAAACGTTGGATTTGTTACGTTAAGAAAACATTCAATTTAAAAACTATAATTTTGAAATAGAAGACTATTTTCCTTTCACTGCTATTACAAAACCTTTTTACATAATTTTAAAATTTGAACATGGACAGGTATTGTTTTCTAAACATCTGGGAAACTAATCACTAGTATAAATGAAAGCTCTTGCTATGGTTGGAGTATAATTGGAGTTTCCCAAGTGTTCCTGTGTTGGAAGGTGGGTCATCAGCATGGCACTGCTGGGAAGTGATGGACTTTCAGAAATACAGCTGAGTATGAAGTCAATGGAGTGGCACCTTGAGAAGGAATTATGGTATCTCTTGTGGAACCCTGAGTTAGTTCTCAGAGGACTGTCATAATAAGGACAAGTCTGGCAACTCCTCAGCTGCTCTGGCTTTTTATGTTCCCATGCGATTTTTCCTTCCTGCATGCACTTCCTATACCATAATGTAGTCTACCAGAAGGTCCTCACCAGAGCCTAGCCCATGTTTAGTCCTTGAGCCTCCAGAACTTTGAGTTGAATAAGTCCTTCTTTCTTAACAAACTATCCAGCCTCAATATTTCAATATAGTAACAGAAAATGGACTGATATGACCATATCATAAGTTATAAACATTAATATTCTCTTTCGCTAATACTAAGACTAACGAGTATTTAAAGAAATAAAAACTTAAGTCAGGCTCAGAATGAGCAGTGTTGAAGGAGCCACTGAAGAGGTAATTGACAGGCTTACTGGTCAGAGTTGCTGCCAAATCAGAGTGTGGGCAGCAAAACTGACTTAGCAATAATGTCAGGGGAAGTGGACCCCTCAGAAGAGATATAAAATTCAGAGAAGAACAACTATACGGCTCCAAAAAAGGAAACCCACACTAGAATGGCAACCTCGCTGAGCTCTTAAGGAAATGACCAAGGACAAAATAACTGAGGAAGTACATGATAGAAATACCCACTTTTTCAAGTGCCTCTTGGAGGGCAACACTAAAAAAGGAGCTATTTCAGCTGGATACTACTGCATTTTACTTGAAACACTCAGCCCTTCAGGAGGAAATGGAAGACAAGGCCCACCCCCAGCCTTCACCCTTTGTTTTTCTCCATGTTGCTTGTGCTGGAAGGAGGTAGCCAACGATATGGAGTATTTCTTTGGAAAAACTGGGGAGGAGCAGGTGAAGAGCTCTAAGGCTGTCCAGAAGTTTGTGCAGTGGATCCACTATGCAAGGCAGGATGAGCTGGAGCTATTGTGGTCCACATTAATGCCCAATACATGAGATATTCCTCAGAGAGCCAGGTACTAAAGAAGGTGGCCCAAGCAGGCACCAAAACTCCCCAGCACTGAGGAAGGGACCCAGTTCCACCTATTTGAGAAGTAAGACAGTGCCCAGCAATGCAAGCAATTCTACAGGGCCAGGATGAACACCTTGGACCAGAACTTGACAAACAAAGAGATGACTATGGAGGAGGTCAACAAAACCTCAGGTATCAGCTTGCAGATATTCAATGAGCTGCAGCAGGCTGGCTCCACGACAGACAGAAAGACCCTAAAGGACGGGGATCTCTGTGCATGACTTGCATAAATGCCCCTTCTACACTGATCACTCAGAAAAAGGTGCACTGGAAGGCAATAGCTGTCCCATTCATGTGGCAATGGCTGTGCTGAGGAAGGCCAATCTCCAGTTCATTCTGGCTGCCTGCATGCTGCTGGCTGCTTGACTCCTGACCTGTTACTACATGTGAAGGACTTGTCATGTCTCACTGGCACCTTCCTCCCATCTCACCCAACTAAACTAACAACTCAGGTGACGTTTTAAATGCTGGGTTTGAAAAAACAAGCAATCACAACAGCTAGATGCTATAGGAAAAAAAGTCAGCTAAGTGCCCTTACCAGATAAAAATGGGTTTTTTAAGAGTCCATAAATGCCAAAAAGCAGCAGAACAAAGAGAATCAGCCGAGTTCGCCTTAGGGAATCTGGAAAAGACAGAAAAAGCCTTAAATGACATCACTGACATATGACAATTCAATGAAATGCAAATATTGCAATTTTTGAATCTGGCATTCTTTGCACAACTGCCATGACATCCTTTTAGTGTCCTGCTCCCAAGAGCATCACGAAGTCACACTTGCTCTGTCCTTCACTTTGGATTTCTCTTAAAACACTGATGAGAGTTCTATGACCATATAACTTGTCTTCTAGGGGGCAATACTGAGGTTTGAACTTAGTGCCTTGTGTTTGCTGTCAGCCCTTTTTGCTTTAGCTATTTTTCAGATATAGTCTTGCTTTGTTTTTTAAAAACTGGCTGGCCTATGATCTCCTACCTATGTCTCCTACATATCTGGGGTTACAGGTATGGACCACCACTTCTGGCTTATCTGTTAAGGCAGAGTGCCACTACCTTTTCACCTGGACAGGCTTCCAAAAGCAATCCACCTGATTTTCCTCCCAAGTGTCTAGGATTATAGGTGTCAGCCACCGCACCTAGCTTAATATGTCTTAAATTACAAATACAGCAGAATATAACCAATGTAAAACTGGATGGTTTTTAAAAAACTGTATTTTAAATGGAGGACCATGCATCCTTCACTTATTCTTCTGAAATCAACTTACCATTGGTTTTCTGTGTTAGTGCTTGAGCTTTCAGAAAACCCTCTGCAAAACCAGTTTTAAATGCATCTTGGTGAGCTTCAGGTATATTTTTGGTTTTCATGAGTTTGTCCAAACTTTCAACATCTGATCCTCTGTCCCGCAAAAGAAACCCCTAAATATATAAAGCAACACAACAGTATAGGTTGACTACATCAACAGTAACACTTCCCAGTAATGCTGTGATCACTCATAAAAAACTCACTGGAAGTCTAGATTGTCAATGTGAAAAAATAAGAGTAAGATTCAACAATGAATTACCTTATCAATGACTAAGATACTAACACTAGAACCTACACATGTATCAAATAATAATATAAAGTGGAGTTACTGTGTAGAAGAACACTACAGTACACGGGAAACAGTTAAGATATCACATGTTATCTTAGGGTTTTAATGCCTTGATGTTCATACCAACTTATTTCTGCTAGCGGAAAAGCTACAAAATGTTTATTATGTACCTTCCATATACTAGACCTTAGATGAGTTCTGAAAATGTAAAGATAAAGAAGCCACTGGTCTGAAAGTTTTCAGTCTATTGGAAAAGATACATAAATAAGTTTTTCAGATAATTTAGTATTAGGTTAGGAGCACCAGTATGGTAGAAAAATAAAAGCTACACATGGAAGGCAGAAACAACCTTATAGAGAATTAGACATCAAAACCACAATAGCCAGATGTGGCAGAACACATCTGTAATCCCAGCACCAGGAGGCTGGCAGGAAGACTGCAAGTTTGAGGCCAGCCTGGGCTACACAGCGAGAACCTTCTGTGGACAAGAAACACACACACACACACACACACACACACACACACACACACACACACGGAAAAAACATCATCAACAATGTGACAGATGCATGGAACAGTGCCTAAGAATTGCCAAGTCCTAAATCTCAAGAGGATAGGGGAATAGTATGTGTGGCACATTGAAAGACGAGGATAGAAAAATGGTTAGTAGAGGGAAAAACAAAATGCTGTCAGAGTGAGCTGAGTACTAAAGCACAGGGATGCAATTCCCAGATTGTCATTTGAGACTCAGGGGTGGAGTTCAGGAGGCAAGACTGAAAGTATCAAGACTAGAGACAAGGAGACTAAATGAGTATTTATTAGTATCATGTAGGTAAGAAATGGTTGTAGCATACGTATGGCAGAAATGGGGAGGAAGAGAAAGAGTTAAGAAACAGGGCTGGTGATATAAATCAGTAGTAGACTGGTCACCTAGCATGTGCGAGGCCTGGGTTCAATCCCTAGCACCAGCATGAAAAAAAAAAAAAAAGAAATATTGAGGAGGTTGGAACCAAGGACTTCAGTGATTAATGAACATGACAGATAAAATGAGAAAAAACAGACAAATCTAGATTGATCAGGTTGCTGCTTGAGTGGATGTTACTCATTATTATAGTGAACACATAAGCAGGTATAGAGTGGAATAAAAAAAAAAAAAACCAGCCAGGGATGAATAATCAGCAAATACAGACAATCTGATGCCCAAGAGAGTTACAAGTGTGATGACTACGTAATTCACTGATTCCTTATTGTTGGTGGAAAGGAAGGGAGAAAATCCACCAGACAATGAAATCAAGCATTGAAGATCCTCATTTTTTTAATAATTTGAAAATTATTACTTTCTGGACTTTAAAAAAGGGTCTATTACCTTCACGAATGACGGTGCAATATTCTGGGTTTCTGCTAATCTTTCAGAAGTTGACTGTAGACGCCGTGTCCTTGATTTCAAAGTTTTAAAACCCCGAGACTGTATGAAAACTGAACAAAACAGCACCATTTCCTTTGTAAATTATTTCAGAAAAGAAAAACACCTCAGATTCTAAAGTCTGACACCATTACCTGTATATCCTAGTTAGTATCTCAGGTATTTTTCTTTTTACTTTTATTTTTACCAGTACTGGGATTCACCTCAGGAGCTCACATTCGCAGGCAGGCAGGCACTCTACCACTTGAACCACACACCTCAGCCCTTTTTATCTTTAGTTATTTCTCAGGGATTACTTTTTGCCTGGAGCTGGCCTTAGACTGCGATTCCTATACCTACCTAACTCCCATATAGCTGGGATTACAGGCCTTCACCACAATGCCCAGCTTTTCTGTTCAGATGGTGATCTCACTTTTTCCCAGGAGGACAAGGAATCCCAATCTTCCCAATCTCCACCTCCCAAGTAGCTAGAACTAGAGGCATGTACCACCACACCCATTCCAGTATTTAAGTTTTTGAAAGTTCTTTTGTCTAACACTTCAATATCCTTTATATTTTTTTATGATTCCTTTTTCAAGAACTTTGTCTATTTTATTTCATGCTGATAGAGGGGGAAAGTAAACAAAGAAGTTTAGCAAACAAGACAGTAACTCTGAAAACAAGACCATAACTGATAAACTGACATTTTTCAAAAAAAAAAAGAGAAAAAAAAAGTAAAGTTATTAAAATGGATTCAAACTATAGAAATCTATACAATTTGCTTTACATTTTCTTGGTAATTACAAAAGTTTTAAAATAAAAAGTATCAAATAAAGTCACTGTCTTAATTCCTTAAATCTCAATGCCATTTCCCAAAAGTAACCACCGTTGACAATTCCATACACATTTGTATGCATGCACACACATGCTCTTTCTATAAAAATCTTTCTAGAAAGATTACATAACTTTATATAATTATCATTGTTCACTTAATAATATATCCTGGATATATTTCAGAATAAGGCTGGCAGTGCATTCAGTTTAATGGCCATTCTGTATTGTCTTCTGCACTTTGTTTTGATTAGAGTTCCATCCCCAAACTAAGATTTCATTTATTTATTTATTTTATGGTGCTAGGAATTGAACACAAGTTTTGTGAATGCTAGCAAATATTCTAGACTACTAAGCTACATTCACAGTAAAACTAAGGTTTTGATATGTAGTCTACTTACTTCTAATACCTTTTTTATATTTTGTTTTCAGACCTTGCATTGATGATATATGCCAAAATCAGTTTAAATTCTGACATTTCATAGTTATTTGATATTTGTGATATCAAACTACTGATTTACATTACTAAAAATACATATTTTGGTATATATAAGCAAAAATGTCTTCAGAGTTTTGGATGAAATACCCTGAATTAGTAAATTTGGACAAAAATGGATACTGTTACAATACCAGGTTCTTGCAAACAGGATTGTGGAATTCTCTCATTGTATTTTAGTCAGTGTTTACTTCCTTCAGAAAAGCTTCATACATATACATATGTGCATGTATGAACACAATGTGTATTCCTTCTCATAAGGACAAAACATGAAATGAGTTTAGAAGAAATTATAAATAAAATATACTCCAAAAAAATGAAAAAGCTGTTGATTTTTTTGGGTAAACTGAACCATCTGGACTACTTGGACAGTGGTTTTTTTGTTTTTGTTTTTGTTGAATTTTCTGGTAAGTAATCACATTAATTAATCACATTAATTTTTCTCCTTCCTTTAGTTTATACATGACTCATTTCTCTTCTTAATCATACTGATCAGAACCTCCCAAATGAATACTAAGAAAAACACAGGGCAGCGAGGAGCTAGTAGTTCATGCCTGTAATCCTACCTACTTGGAAGATTAGGACAAGAAGGAATGCAGTTCAAAACCAGCCCAGGCAAATAGTTCATGAGAACCCATCTTCAAAGCAACCAGAGTGTAACAGACTGGAGGTGTGACTCAAGTGGTACACTGCCAGTTTTGTAAGGGCAAAGCCCTGAGTTCAAACTCCAGTTCCACAAAAAAAAAAAAAACCTTCCATGGGATAATGTTCGTTTCTCAGCATTAATGGCAACATAACAGATGTTGATGTTTTAAGAAATTAAAAATATTTCCTCCAGTTCTAGCTTTCTAAAAGCTTTCAAGAAACATAGCAATTGAAATATATCATATGCTTTTTATCATACACTGAAATAACATCTCTATTCTTTAACATTAATTAGTAGACATAGTAATGTTAATCGCCCTTGTATTCCTTAATCATGAAACATTTATCAACATATTTCTAGACTTATTTTCTTCATATTTTACTTAGGAGTTCTACAATTATAATATTAAGTACATCAATTATATTCTTTTTCTTGTGCTAATACTGACCAATTAGGCACAGCAATTTCACAGAATACATCTTTTCTGGGGCAGCAATGGGGATGAGGGGTAAGCGATGCTTTTAACTAAGCCTCCTGAGTATGGGGACAACAGGTATGTGCCACCTTGACAACCCTATCTTTCTCTTTTTAATAAAGTTTTAAATAACAGGAAACATACCATTCTGGGTATACAAAATATCCATAGGGCTGGGAGATGTGGCTCAGTGGTAGAATATCTGCTTGCCATTTATGAAGACCTGAACCATATTCCTACTACCACATTAGGGAAAAACAAAAACAAAAACAACAAAAAAAAACCCACACTTGTGCTTATCTTTAAAGTAAGATTATTTTTTTCAATCTTATCCTTCAAACTTTATGGCCAACATCCATCCTATCTCTTCTTGGATTACTTTTGCTAACTTGTACCTTCTCTGTTTCAACATTTTATTAATAGAATAAAACATACACTATCTTATAATTTCACATTTTTCAGCTTATCTCCCTTTCACTTTCAACACTGTTTATATTTTGATTTGTTAGATTTTACTTGATTGGTTTTCCTAAGTTAAACATTTTTTAGTTACATAAAACTATTTTTTTAAATTTTTTGATCAATATTGAATCTTTTTTAAAAACATTCAATTTATTCTCCATTTTTCTCACTTCGCTAACAAACTATACAGTGACTCCAACATCACTTTGTTCTCAGCCAAGATTTTCATATGCAGGTTTCCACTGTGGTTCATTACTAATGCCACTAATTGCAATTTCAATTTCCTTTCAATCATGAGACACAGTACAAAGAAAAGAAAATTTTTCTAATTCTAAGAATTTAGATATCCCTTTACCTGTCCCACTATATTTTAATTTTATTTTCTGATGATCAGACAACATGACCTCGGTTATAACATTTTTTTATACCCTAACATGTTCTGTTTTGGTATCTTCTGTGAAAATGTAAGGTATATATCATTTGTCTCAATTATTCTTGTGCCTTCTTCAATAATCATTTCTTCAGAGGATTATCAGTCTCTTTGCTCAATGTGGTACGTCTTTTTTATGCTGTAATTTTCCCTGAAAATGTGGACATTCTTAGTAATCAATCTTTCTGTGTGTCTGTCCCCCACCCCCAACCCATATTCTCTCTTTTTTTGAGACAATCTCACAGCATGTAACCAAGGCTAACTTAGAGCTTATGATCCTCTTGCCTCTATTTCAGAGTGTGGGATCATGTGTGCATCACCACCTCTGGCATCCACTTCTTTTTATGTACTTACTTATTAAAGTATAATAATTACTGCTGATAGAAAATGGCTTTCCTATACACTACCAAACATATATGCCTTTGGATTAAAATCATGTACTACTGTCAATGAGCAGGATATTAAATCATTCAAAACCAAATTAACTAGGGTACTGCCTTGTTTTCTTCTTTGACATCAATTGCTCAAACCTGAATTCTCCAGAGACAAATTCCCCTAAACACATACACACATCAGAAAGGGACTTTTTGCTAACTGTAGCCTAAAAGTTAACAGCTACATTTGTTCTGATTGGCCCATTTTTGGCAATCCTTCAATTGTGTATTATATCAGCAATCACAAAGTTCACTCTTATGAACTCTGAGCTTGGTGTTTTGCCTGAGTTCTATCAGAAATTTAAGCATGCACATCTTTCTTAACACTATTCTAAGTTGCATGAGGTACAGAACATATCTTTTTCATTTACAACAATCATTATCACCTAACACCAATCACTAGGTGCCTGACAGATGAATGAGTACAAATTTGATATACCTATCAATTTAACATCACCTGCTTTATAACTTAACAAAAGTTTGCACATTTCTGATACACTAATGAAACGTCTTTGATGTTCCTCTACTTTCCTTTTCATTTTAATATTTTTCCTATAATTTCAATGGGCTTCTGAATGTGAAGACAAGTAAATAATTCTGAAACAAGTATAAATAAGTTCCCTGGAGTCTAATCTGCCTTAACACTTACCACTCAAAGTTTAGCTCCTAGTAGATATTTTTCAGATTAAAAATTATACAGAAAGCCAAAAGCGGTAGCAGAGACCTGGAATCCCAGTACTTGGGAGAGTGAGGCTGGAAGATTTCTAGTTGAGGCCAGTCTGGGCTACATAGAGAGCCCTGTCCCCAAAAAAGAAAAAAGAAAAGTTTACCCAGTACTACACACACAGATCAATTCCAAACATTCCTAAGTCCTATTATGCACTGCAAACAGATGTGTATAAAAATCAACACCACTAAGAAAGACAAATCTTATTAAAGAAATGCATTGTAATTTTCAAAATAAATACAGTTGTTTCATACCTGGCCAGTACTGAAGATCTGAACAAATGCTTTGAAGAGTTCTTGAATGTTGTGTGTATAAGCCCAAGGAACGTAAAGTACTAAACATACCTAAGTAACCAGGAAGAAAATTGCAAAAAAATAAATAAATTTCCTAATGGCCAAAGAAAAACCATAAAATTCATATAGAATATAATCATATATTAGGAAAATCACAATATACTGAGTTACACCTTTTATTTATCCATGGTATGAATTGGCTTTTATAAAAATATCTAAACCACTGTTAACCTAATGACTTTATATCTCACAGTTTTTTGTTTTACAACCATTACAGTTACTTTCTTTATCTGGCCTATGAATGTAGATTCCCAAAACTAAATTCAAAACAGCAGAGGTAAAAGATATATTTGTTCAGGCTGGAATTAATTTTAGCTAAGAGAATAAAGAATTGCTATTTAAGGACAATTTTTAAAACTCAGCTGTGATAAAACACTGCAAACCATAACTACGGCTTTTTCCCCTACTAAAGCTTTGTTAGTAGGTATGAAAAAGTTCCTCTCATGGCTCTAAGCAATGGATACTTCAGTGATCCTTCCTAACTCCTGAATAATGTGTCATATCCTACTTTGCATCTAAGATCTAGGGACACACCTGGCAGAAGCAACAACAGAAACAGTGATTGTCATCATCTGTGTAGTTCAGGTAGAATGAGAGTCAAACCATGAAATTTCTACCTGCCTAAACAAAGCAAGCAGCTAACAAGTATGAAGAATCTTAAAAGTGAATGTAAATATGCAGATTAGAATAAAAGGAAGAGAAAGAATAATAACAAAACTTTTATGCCATAGAGCACTTTCTATGGGCCAAGTACTTTAGAAAGAGGTATAAAACAATAGAGGCAATTTGTTAATCTAAGCCCCAAGGTCAAAAACTTCCTACTTTTTTTCCCACCTTTGAATTCATTATGTCTTCATACAAAATAAAGAAAAATGAAAAGTAAAGAATTAGAAAATGAATTAAGTTTATGCAAAATGTAGCTTCAAATCAAAACAGCATAAAACTGTTCAAACATGCTTTGTATTCTTAATCTTTTATAGTTTATATTGACTGTTAAAGACCTATTCTTCCATCAGTATAAACAGGTATTTTGGTATTTTAATAAGGCTCTAATATTCCTTCTTTAAATACTGTTTTTTTTAAAAGACATTCATGGGCTGAAGATGTAGATGTATATCAGCAGTAGAGCACATGGCCCTGAGGTCAATCTGCAGCACAGAAACTCATGAAGCTGATATCCCAATTCCATAAAATACAATACAAGACCATTTATTATAATACCAGATTATAACTAGCCTCAAATAGGAAAATACACAGACATTCCATAAAAGAAGAGACTATGACTGTTTCCTCATTAACATATTCTCAGAAATTAGCATGTTAACCTGGAATCTAATAACCAGTCTCACCTAAGATTAAAATAACAACAGTGAAAACTACAGTCTTCTAAACGTGATGTGCTATGCTATATAGATTTTGGAACAGAAGAACACTAGTGGAAAAACAAGTGATTTAGTTAAATAAAATTTTGTGGAGATCAAAATAGTCTATATCTAATTTGAAATATTGCACCAATGTCAATTTCTCATTTTAGACAAATGTTCAATGTCAACATTAGAGGAAGAAGGTGAAAGGAATAAGGAAATTCTCTATACTGTTCTTAAAACTTTTAAATCTAACGTTTCAATATGAAAACTCATTTTAAAAAGAAAACAACTCAGAAAAAAACCTGGCTCATAGTAAATGCTAATAATCAATGATTACTGATAATACTAAAATGGCTTAGTGTAATTACAACCAAAAATATTAACATACCATATTTATTTTCAAAGAAGGACTGTGCGGAGACATGGGATGTATGCCAATGGGAAGATACACTTTTGCCTTTATAAAATCCAGGAAGTAGATTTTCTACCAGTTGATCAATCTGCCCAATTTTTAATTCAGATATTCCAAGGTCCCTTAAATTAAGTGCAGGCTGAAAAACATTGAGTCGACCAAATGAACATTAATACTCATTTAATTAAAGAGGTATTTATTATCAGAAACAATATGGACTTTTTTTGGCAGTACAGGATTACCACTTGCTAGGTAAGCACTCTACCACTCAAGCCACACCCCCAGTCCTTTTTTGCTTCAGTTTCTTTTTTAGGTAGGGTCTCCAGCTTCTACCTGGGCTAGCCTTGGATCACAATCTTCCTACCCCCACCTCCCACAGAGCTGAGATTATAGGAGTACACCAACCAGCATGTCCAGCTCATTTTTCACTTTGAAAATTTTTTGGAGAGGGGGATAGAGGTGGGAAATAGACCATACTGGCGTTAGAACTCAGGGCCCAAGCACTTTACCACATGAGCCCTTTTTCCTTTAGGCTATTTTCTAGATAGGGTCTGGCTTTTTTGCCCATGGCTGGCCTAGAACCATGATCCTCTTACCTATGTCCTCCATCTCTTCTGGGAACACAGGCATGCACCACCATATCCCGCTTGTTTTGCTGAGATGGTGTTTTATTAACTTTTTTCACTGGCTGTCCTGTAACTAGGATCCTCCAAATCCATACCTCCAGAGTAGCTGGGATTACAGGCGTGAGTCACAGTGCCTTGTCTTCAGCTAATTTTTTGAGATATGGTCATTTTGCCCAGGGTGACCTCAAACCACAAATCTTATCTCTGGTTCCTGTGTAGCTGGGATTACAGGTGTGAGCCACTGTGCCTGGTCTTCAGCTTATTTTTTGAGATAAGTTCGTTTTGCCCACAGTGACTTCAAACTATAATTCTATCTCTGCTTGCTAAGCACACAAGACAAACACACAATATGGATTTAGAAAGCCTAATAAATATGTTAATTTCTTTTTAATACTTAAAATATAAATTGATGAAAATATTTTATAGCTCTATTTTTACTAATGTCAGTCATGAAAGGTTTGACAAGTTGAAAACTATATCCCCAGGTATCTTTAAATAAAAAGATAACATTTCAGAGCTGGCCACCAGTGGCTCTCTCCTATAATCCTAGCTACCTAGGAAGCAGAGATCAGGAGGATCACAGTTCAGTGCTAGCCCAAGCAAACAGTACGTGAGACACTATCTTGGAAATACCTAACACAAAAAAAGGGCTGGCAGAACAGCTCAAGTGGTAGAGTGGCTGCCTTAGCAAGGCAACTGTGGCCATGAGTTCAAACCCCAGTACCACCAAAAAAACAAAATAAAAAAGTAATGAAATAACAATTCAGTACAAGGAAAAAAAATTTTCACCACCAAATCAAAATACCACTGAACTAAGTATGTACTGTTATTCAGGAAACCAAGTGAAATGCATTATATTCTTCTCTCTCTTTATCTAAGGTACTGTCATCTAGTACAATCATTAGTCAAAACATTAGTAACAACATAACAGAGTACTTGCTGGGTGGAGCATAGTATAATAGATTATTTTAAGAAAACAGACCACACTGATGAAATTTTCATTACTGTATAATGCTATGACTGTTGTTAATATCTTACTATATCTAATTTATAAATTCAACTTTATAGTGTTTTCAGTAGTAAGGTTCTCTAGGACTACAATTTGAGAGAAGGTCTTGGCTCAGTGGAAAGACAGTGGTCTGACTGACCAGAAAGACAGCCAGTAATAGGTGGAAATAAGTCAAAGGCAAGCATAAAAGACTACAAAATATTTTTCCATCTGAATTAAATTTTATCCTCTGGGCATGGTGGTACATGCACGTAATCCTAGCAAGTAGGAGGTTGAGGCAAGAGTATTGTGAGTTAGGGGCCAACTTGGGCTACCTACCTAACCTCGTGTAAGAAAAAAAATTTGTCCTAAAACGTAACCTGTGATGAAACCACATGAACAAAATCATTTTAGATTCATAATTTCCCCATATCTTAGACATCATTTTTTAATTTGTGAATACTAAAGAGTAGTTTACAACTACATTATTGGCAACTAACTATACCACTGACCATAATTAGGTCAGTTACTTGTGTGGTTCACTGCTACTGGTTAAAAAACAACCAATGGGAATATCTAACTGCTTACCACAAGTAGGTTAAATTAGAACATGCCATAACAAAGATAATGTCATATGAAATTTAAAAGCAAATTGAAAATGATTAATAAAAAGAGTATGTATGTACATCAAAAGCCAGAATTAACTATATTTTAATTTTAAAAGAAGATTGTGTTGGTGGATTGATGCGGGGAAAAAAGGAACCCTCTACACTGTTGGTGGGAATGTAAACTAGTACAACCACTCTGGAAAAAAATTGGAGGCTACTTAAAAAGCTAACATTGATCTACCATTTGATCCAGCAATACCACTCTTGGGGATATACCCAAAAGACTGTGACACAGGTTACTCCAGAGGCACCTGCACACCCATGTTTATTGCAGCACTATTCACAATAGCCAAGTTATGAAACAGCCAAGATGCCCCACACTGACGAATGGATTAAGAAAATGTGGTATCTATACACAATGGAATTTTATGCAGCCATGAAGAAGAACGAAATGTTATCATTGCTGGTAAATGGATGGAATTGGAGAACATCATTCTGAGTGAGGTTAGCCTGGCCCAAAAGACCAAAAATCGTATGTTCTCCCTCATATGTGGACATTAGATCAAGGGCAAACACAACAAGGGATTGGACTTTGAGCACATGATAAAAGCGAGAGCACACAAGGGAGGGGTGAGGATAGGTAAGACACCTAAAAAACTAGCTAGCATTTGTTGCCCTTAACGCAGAGAAACTAAAGCAGATACCTTAAAAGCAACTGAGGCCAATAGGAAAAGGGAAGGGCAGGAACTAGAGAAAAGGTTAGATCAAAAAGAATTAACCTAGAAGGTAACACACGCACAGGAAATAATGTGAGTCAATCCCTGTATAGCTATCCTTATCTCAACCAGCAAAAACCCTTGTTCCTTCCTATTATTGCTTATACTCTCTCTACAACAAAATTAGAAATAAGGGCAAAATAGTTTCTGCTGGGTATTGAGGGGGTGGGGGAGAGGGAGGGGGGAGTGGGTGGTAAGGGAGGGGGTGGGGGCAGGGGGAGAAATGACCCAAGCCTTGTATGCACATATGAATAAAAAAAAGAAAAATAAATAAAAAATAAAAGAAAGGATAAAGCTAAAGGCAGAAAGCATGTTGATACAAATGCCTACATAAAGCTATTCCATTAGATGTTGATTAAAATTTGACTTATCAAAAAGGCGCTATCCAGCTTGTCATACACCTGTAATCTCAGCACTGGAGGACTGTCTCAAGGTTAAACAAGGACAGCTTTGCTTCACAGCTTAGACTCTGCTCAAAAACAGAAACAAAAAAAATGTTTTTTTCACACAACCAGAGTTAAAAACTGTTACCTCATTGGATGGAGCCTCACGCTTCCAGAGGAACTATATCTCGATGCTGGATTTTTGAGAAAACGACCGTACTTGCAGAAAAGCGATACGTTTTTTTGGTGAATGGAAGGCATTTGATGAGGTGACGTGAGAGGAACTGTAAACCTAAAAAAAAAAAAAAGAAAAAGGTTCAAATTAAGAAGAAGTGCATTTTCTTGTGGTATCTATACCACAATGGGAATTCTAGTGCAGCCACGAAGAAGAATGAAATGTTATCATTCACTGTAAATGGATGGAATTGGAGAACATCATTCTGAGTGAGGTTAGCCTGGCCCAAAAGACCAAAAATCGTATGTTCTTCCCTCATATGTGACATTAGATCAAGGGCAAACACAACAAGGGGATTGGACTTGAGCACATGATAAAAGCGAGAGCACACAAGGGAGGGGTGAGGATAGGTAAGACACTAAAAAATTAGCTAGCATTTGTTGCCCCTTAACGCAGAGAAACTAAAGCAGATACCTTAAAAAGCAACTGAGGCCAATAGGAAAAGGGGAACAGGAACTAGAGAAAAGGTTAGATCAAAAAGAATTAACCTAGAAGGTAACACCCACACAGGAAATCAAATGTGAGTCAATGCCCTGTATAGCTATCCTTATCTCAACAGCAAAAACCCTTGTTCCTTCCTATTATTGCTTATACTCTCTCTACAACAAAATTAGAAATAAGGGCAAAATAGTTTCTGCTGGGTATTGGAGGGGGAGGGGAGGGCAGAGTGGGTGGTAAGGGAGGGGGTGGGGCAGGGGGGAGAAATGACCCAAGCCTTGTATGCACATATGAATAATAAAGAAAAAGAAAAAAAAAAAGAAGTGCATTTTTTTAAAAAATAAAAAACAAAACTACCTCTGTTTTCTTTCTAAGGATTTAGGATATGTTAAAATTTAAACATATACTGTTATATCCAAAACTATACATTAGGCTGAGGTATTAGCTCTATACTTGCCTAGCATACATGAGGCCCTGGGGATTATTCCCAGGCAACCACAAACACACATACAGAAAAATCTATGTATTAAAATTTTTAAGTACTTCTGAGTGTGGTGGTTTACATCTATAATCCTAACTACTTGAGAGGCAGAGATCAAGGCAATGTCAGACACCATCTTAATCAACAGCAGTGCACGGTGGCACTCACTGTGTTATCCCAGCTACTGCAAGAAACATAAATAGGAAGATCCTGGTCCAGGCTGGCCTGGGCAAAAGTGAGACTCGATCTACAAAATAACCAGAGCTAAAAGGGCTGGAGACATGGCTCAAGTGGTGGAGTTCCTGCCTAACAAGTTTGAAGCCCTGAGTTCAAATCCTAGTATTTTGCCAAAACAAACAAACAAAAAAAAAATAAGTACTCATTTATTGCTAGTGGAAGAAAACAAATCTAGTCTTTCAGGACACTATTCTAGATATATGAATCAAAAGTATTCAAATTCATATATTTCTTATTCTTACGATTTACCTTCTAGGAACTTATGCTAAGGAAATAATATGACACATTCTTGCCTATAAGACAATTGCCTATAAGACAACTGCCCATTTGACAATTTTCATCAATACATTTTTTAAATAGTGGAAAGCTAGAGAAACCCACCATCAGGGGAGTGACAACATAAATGACACTACAATAGAATGACATTTTTAAAAAGTACATAGCCAAAATTTTCCTTTTCATCTTCCCCACTGCCTGCCACCATCTTGTAATGTACAACCATCCTCTGCCCTTATCC